CCCCCCCCCGGGTGGCCGTTTCGAAACAATGCGCGTCGCCGGGCCGTTTGTGTTTGTTCGCCGCGTCGTGGTAACACACTCTCGGTGTATTGTGTACTGCGCGCGCGCGTGACAATCTAATTTACGCACTTCGGAACGTCCGGATATATCGCGGAATTAGCGCGCGTCTATAGCGTATAACGACAACAATAATAGTAACAATAACAACGACAATAATCCGCGCGGTTACGGTGCGCACGACCCGGGACGGCCGCCGCGCCGCGTAACGTACACGAGCGTTTATTTATTGCGCCGCGTCGCAATCGCGTGCGGGACCAGGTAACGCGGGGGTGGACCTTGTTTTTCAGTCGGTTTTCGATTCCGCCGTTAGCGTTTGCCGCGCAGATCGCGTACGGTATTTCGGTATCGTGCCGCGCGGCACGCGCGTACGCCTCGTCGTTTCGTGTCGCGTGTTATGACCGGCGGCGGCGGTGGCGGTGGTGGTGGTGGTGGGGGGGGAAACGCGAACGAAAAGGGTAGCATAAAAAAAAAAAAAAAAACCTAGGAAAACTGTTATAATTACGCATATTATATAACGATATACCCCAGTATTTGTATAACACGTGTTTATAGGCAATTATTATATCGTAGGTATTTTTTTTCTTCTTCTCAATAAGAACGCTTCATATTTATAGCAACAGTATTGGCGTTTTGTGTTTGACGCCGTTGCCCGTCGTGTTACGTTTAGATGTATAGTACGGTTTAAACAATCGCTCGTATTATTTCGGATCGGCGAAACCGCCGCCGAGACGCGTATCCACGAACAACACATTATCAACACGGTTGTTGTTTTTTAATTCGGCGTCGCGCGTAAAAAATATACATATAGTGACGTGTGCGTCTCGGTGTAACGGAATGGAAGGGGGGGGGGTGATATTGGGAAAACAAAAAAACAAATCGAATACTTCAAGTCCATATAATTATATCGTAATGCATTTTTTTTTTTTTTTATAACATTGGCAACTTCTTGCGCAAATCCTCAGATATTTTTATGTTATTGCTATTTGTCCGTCGCTTTTCTACTTTACGCACGGGATAAAAAAAAAGTATCACATCGCGTTTTTATAAATTTATCGGGTTGTTTATAGTCGCGTACACCTCTATCGGATTTAATGCGAATTTGTTGAATGAAAATCGCGTTTTCGTCGTTTTTATGATCGACAGTTAACACTATATAACTTGCATTTCTTTCATGCAATAATTTGTTGTTTACGTATAACGTCGTGTTTTGTTCTCGCACGCTACCCGTTTTGATTTCGACAGTTTTCGATCAAAAACATTAACAACAATATTGTATTAATAATAATAATAATAATAATAATTCATAAAACCAAACGAAACCTGCAATACCGGCGGTTATAATATCCGGACATTTGCCTGCACACACGCACAAAAAGGCTATAAGTAATCGTTTAATTTTTTTTTTTTTTTTTAAATTAAAATACGCAATTTATAGATTTTTACCAGTGTTTTTACCGAGCGTACGCGAGTCCGGCGTTTTTTTTTTCCTTCTCAAAATCGGAATAAATTTATTGTATGTACAGTATGCTCGGTATTTTATTAAACTCGTCTCGAGATCCAATATTTTTTACTCGTTAAATTCGTACCCGTATTATACTATATTCATTTTGTTCGAAAACGTTTTATAGAGGCGTATATAATTTCGCGAACTATACAGAGCGTGTATAATATATCAGCATTATAGTCCTAGATAAGTAATAAAAATTGTAGTGCCTATACATTCCGGTATACATCGTTGAATTCGAATACATTTCGCCCTTCCACTCGGCCAGAATTGCACGCGAGTATCAACGTATTTGCATTGTACGTTATTCATTAAATCGCATTTAACCGTATGGAATAAAACGTATGCATGCAATTTCTTCAAGTATTTTAACGTCCCGAATGACTGCAGCGCGCACGCTGTCCGGTTTTAGAGTTTCGAATTATTTTCCCGTTTTCGTCTGCGCGTAACGCATTGTACGAGTGCCCACGCGAAATCCGAGTCGAGTGAGTGGACCGACGTTCGGCACGGCACGGATATTGCAAAATCTATGTTTTAAAATCGTAGTAGGATTTTTTTTTTTCCCCGTGCGTGTAAAAAATGCGCGAATACCGCGTGTATCGGAACCGGAAACTGCGCGCGTTCCACGTGAATTTCGGCGAAACAACGGCTGTCCCGTTTATTTCCGGGAATCCGGCCGCATAAGAGACTGGACTTCCCCCCCCCCCACCACATTCGCGTACAGCGCGCAACGTGTTCGGGCGGCGACTGTTTGTATAATAAACGTTCGGACTTTGGTCGCGTGTGCTCTCGTTGGGAGCTTCCGACGTTTTCGCGGGTCCGCGCAGAACACGGAACACAATGCTGTGTACTGCTGTTGCGCGCGTATTTTCGGACGCAGAGTAAAACTGTTCGGGGGTTCGACGGTGTGTGTGTGTGTGTACGTGTGTGCGTGCGTGCGTGCGTGTGTACGCAGTTCGGCGGGCCGTCGTACCGTTTAGGCCTAGGGAATTAATAAATCACCGCCGAGGAACATGCGGGGTGTTTTCTAAGTCCGCGCGGTCCGCGAAACGAACCCCCGTTTCTCTTTAGAGAGAACCGCGCCGCCGTCGTGACGGAATTGATAACGCGCAATTAATTCGGCAATTACCCCGGGGATTCGATATAATATATATATACGGATGAGCTTAGGCAAAGAGAAAATGTAATTTTCGTGCGCGCCGGAAGAAGAAGAAGAAGAAGAAGAAGAAAAAAAAAATAAAAATCCGTCTGAATATAGTATTTAATGATTTAGCGATTATTATTCAAACGGTATACCAAATGCGTTTTTAAAGTTTTCTTTACGTAAGTATATATAATAACAATAATAATAAAAAGAAAATGTAAATGTATTTTCATTTTTTTTTTCGCTCCCCCCCTCCCTCGTGTAAATCGTTCGTTTCGCTTTTGGGTATTTGCGCGCGCGCTTTGTCCAAACACAAAAAAAAAAAAAAAAAAAAAAAAAAAACACCGCACCATACAATACGCCCGTACTTATTCGCGCATAATTCGACAATTCTAAACGCGTTCTTCTTTGCTCTATACGCGCGGTTATCGTCGTCGCAGGTGTGGTGTACGTTCATGCGTGTATCAGACAAACAACTGCGACTACAAAGTCACGTCGAATCGCCCCCGACCCCGTCGGAAGTACGCAAACAAAAATGTCATATCGCATTATAATCGTCGCGTTCTAAATACGAAATGACGTTTTTCTTTTCTCCCGCGTGGTTCTAGACAGACGAACGATATTGAATGAATAACGAAAACGTCCGTTCAATTTCCGTTTCCGCGCGTATGTTTTTCGAAACGGCCCGCGGGTCTTCCGAATTATCTGAACGCATAAATCCACCTCGAACATATTACGTTTGTCTTTTTGGCCGGTCCGGTCCGAACGAACCCCCCACCCCCCGGAACCAGACGCGTTTTTAACCGGCGGCGGATCGAACGTGATAGTAAAAGTCGGGTCGAATGAATTTTAATACGAATTTCGGGCGCGTCGTGGCGGGAG